GTTTCCTCGTCTTCTTCGTGATGAAGCAGCAAAACGCAGAGTACAGTACGAAAGATAACAGGACATAACGCACTTCTTAAAAAAGTAGCTATTTTATGCAAAGTAGGCTACTTAGTTTTCATTATGGACAGCGTTATGCCTTTATCAAGCATTTTTCTGAGGTGGGTACCTGATCAGGTAATTTATTGTCTACCACGAATTCTTTAATTTCAACTTTCATATAATAAATGCTATATGTCTTCATAAAATTACGTACCTTTCCTTTTTTTTTTAAAGGTATTTTTGCAATTTATTTTATGCTGTATTCTCAAGCAAACAATATATATACAAGGGCATTACAATATTTTCTTGGAATCACTCGTACTTTTTCTTTTTAATCCCGTTCTCGATAACTCGGCCACCTTTCGGTCAGCTTATGTTCATTCAACTGTATAAGCAGTTACTGAGATTGTAAAATGAGCTAGTTAAAGCAGGATTGAAAATCTTAATCCATGAATGTTGAATGGAATTAATCCCTAATATATTCAATTTTTTTTCAATATTTTTTGCTACTCAGATTTTAACAACAGAAAATGGAAAAAATAGTAACATATTTTACCATAATAATAATAAGTAAAATTTCCATACTTTAAAACTTAGGATAAAAAAGTGTATTCCAAGCAAAAATAATCATTATCATTTAATATAAAAACAAATGATTTTTAAAATTTAAATATAATAAACTGGTCAGTGAATATTTCTTGTGATGGAACTGAATAAAAAAAAGCTTAACAAGATTACCTTTTCATTCCTCTTTAATGACATGACAAATCTTATTAATATTTTGGCTGTTGAAATTCTCTCTGAACTTAAATGTTTAAGCAAACGTGTAAACCTGAGATTTTTTTTATAATTATTGGCAAATATACGAAGTTTTTTTTCAGAATAATGAATAAACAATGACAGCGTTGAAAGAAAAATGCGTAAAATTATTAAATTTTATTTTTAGAAAAGAGGTTAAACACAATTTTTAAGAATTTATTAAAATATGTCGAACACAGAAATTTTTGACACTTTTAATTGCTACATGAATATTAAATATTCTTAAGGTGTCCGAATACGTTTGAAATCGTGATTTTGCAAACACGTACAAACATATCTTTTTTTTTTAATATTTAATGTCACTTAGATTAGAATAAACGTATGAAATTGTTTTTAGGATATTATTATGATAAAAAATTATTTAAATGCATTTTGGCAAAAAAGGAACTTAAGATTATCTATTTTTAAAACATTCTCCTTTATGAAAAATTCTTCTACTATAATAATGAGATCTTGCGTATATACAGTTAAGACTTCTCCAGAAAGCCTGAACTTGGAATTTAGAGAAATCCACATTTTCAGAGTTACTACCAATTAAAATAATTATCGGTGTTTTTTGTTGAAATGTTTTCTTTTTGGCATATTAAAATATGGATCAATTTACTTTTAAATGATATATTTCAAAAATCCTATATAGTTCAGGATCTGTACAGAAGTCTGAGCAAAAAATATTATTATTATAGAAGCATTTTTATAAAAAGAGAATGTTTTGAAAACAGGCATTTATATGTTCAGGTTTTGCCAAAATATCACATTTAAATAATTTTTTATTGTAATAATTTCTTTAAACAATTTAACACGTACTTTCTAACGTAACTGCCACCGAATATTAAAGAAAAATATATTCGTTTGTTCACTTTATAAAATAACGGTTCTGAATGTAGTTTAATATTCTAGCTGCGATTAAGGATAATTTAGAAAATAAGTACAAACATTTTATTCTCTTTGTAAAAATAAATTCATTGATATATCTATTCTGGAAAAAAAATAACTACATAGATTTAATTCTGGTCATTTCAACCAAACTAAATGCGAAATAAATTAATCAGAAAAATGTATGATATTTTGAACCACAATTCAGTGACGAAGATTACATTTGAGCCTAAGTTTGTGACAAAAGCCTTATACCTTAAACTAGTTTGCACGTACACCGTGCAGGCTGCCGAAAGCTGGTCACGACCGGTTTGCCCGTACAATGTACGGGAATTTACGTTTTCTTTTTTTTTCTTTGATTTGTACATATTTTTCATTCTTATAGTGAAATTATGCGTGCTAATGTTTTTAAGACATGCAGTTTGTCCATGGTACTGAAATACTTTTCATCCGAGATTTTCTTCGTGGTGAAGGCGGGAATTTTTCATTGAAGGCAGAAATTTAGAATCCTGAAAATATTCGATAAAGAACAAGTATTGGCCAGGCAATGTGCAATTTGTTGCTTGAAAAGAAATGAAAATGGAAATGTGATCCAAAGAAGCCAATATCATCTCTGTTCCTATAGTAATTTAAGACTTAGAATTACACCATGCTTCAAAGTGTGTGTGCATATTTGTAACAATATATGCACACGCACAAGATCCTCAAACGTTTGAAAAAGAGGTAAGAACATAAAAAATTTTTGTAAGTATGAGAGAAATTCTTTTATGAGAGATATGTAACATTCTTCATAGCATGCAGAGTGTACTTTTAAAATTCAAACATTCAGGAGGTTTTGCGTTCACAATTATAAATTAATAAATAATGTGATATAAAATTGAAAATTAAAATAAAATTCTTTCATTTTTGTATTCAGTTAAGTATTATGCTTAGTAATACGCAATAAAAAAATTGCCTTTCTTTGAAACATTTTGGATAGAAAAAAATTGACCACTTAAGAGATTAATGTCTGTATGATTAGTTCGACGTGCGACAACTCCGAATCGTAAAAATACGACTTGAACCCAACGTACAAGTAGGTACAGACACAATTCAACAAATCACACAGGCAAAATATATCTCAAAGTCATTTCTTTATCTGTTTAAGGGGACTTGGTATCCTAAAAATCACAAACCTATCGTTTTTTTTATTTTCATTTAATCGTATTCTTTGCATTATTATCTCTCGATTTATATATCACTTGTGCATGTCGGAGAGTTAGAAGTTGATTAAAACTTCATTTGAAAACAAATTAGGCAATTCAGCCACACCCCCTTTTTAGAAAAAAAAGCTTAAAAAATGCTTTATGATAAAAAAAATCTATTTTAGAAATAGAAATAATAACTATAAAAAAGAATGTGTAGTATTAAAAGCAGAATATTTCCGAGGCAATACAATAATGTAATTTTTCTTCCTTGTGAAATGTGTGCATGTAAAATTTTTAAATTAAGGCATTTTATATTAATAATTTTATAATTTCAGTTCTTCTTCCTGATATATTTTTCATACAAATGTAATACTTTAATATTATAAGAAGAAAAACAGCTAAAATTTCTGTCGTGACAGAAAAAAATTTTTTTAACATTTTTCTTGAATTTTCATGGGCAATTAGTACTATCTAAAAGTTGATCATTTATAAAAATGTGTGGGTTGAAAAAATATGAAAATGCAATTATTTTAAAGAAAAACGTATAACTAATATCTTAAAGTGGTATTTTAAGTTTAATTAAGCTTATAATAATTATTTTTTCAGAATTATAAACTTTAAACCTGTTTTTCTCAGTTTGTGTTTTTCGAAATCTTAGTGCATTCAAAATGCTACTCCTTCGACAATTATTTACCAATCACTTCCATTTTTTTCTTGCGTGTTGAAAATAAAGCATGTAATAAAATTAGGGATCCGTTTTGCTATAAACTGAATACTTTTTTTAAAAAAAAATAAAATGTAAGACATGTTGGCTTTTCGTTGATTTTTAGCCTGTATATCAACATTTTATTTTTTTTTCTCGAAAACGAATGAAGTTATTCTAAAATCGATCCCTAAAGTTGTTTAGATCATCCATAACAGTATTATAAAAATTTCAGGTCAAAAATTAATTTTACACAAGGAGTAGGATTTTAAAATTTTCCCAATTTTCTTCAAAAAATTAAAATTTTTAAAATTGTGTGAATAATATATGAAAATTTTCATCTGGTAACATTTTCTTGAATAGAAACATTGTATAAAATGCTAAAATATAGTTTTTAAATACGTAAATAAAGAAGTTTGCTCAAAGGGTGCCAAGTCCCCTTAAGTTTATGAGTGAACATTACCATCGCACTGTTCAGCTACACGAGGGCTTTTGGCGACGGACCACGTAATTTTGAACCATGATCAAGTGACGAAAACGACACCTGAGCTTGCACCTCCTCTCCTAACTACAACACCACATCAACGAGAGGATGTTTGAGCTCTCCACAGATTTAACGCGCAACTCTCCCCTACACGGCGGATCTTTAGTGGTACTGGGCTCGAACTCGTGACATGCCTGGCACGATCCGACACCTTGACCACTGGGCTACAGCATCCCAAATTTATGAGGGAAGATCAGCCATTATATGTTTTATTATAAAGAATTGAGCTTTACTTATCTGATACAATCAGAACGAGATGATAGCACTTCTACAATTTTCCTTAACGTATCCAGTCTCTCAATAATTCTTAGATAATGTTCTCTGACAATACCTCACTATCGTAATAATTTCTTGGTCTGTGATATAGTCAAATTGAAGAATTATTATGCATCCCTAACTTCACTTTAAATCCCTTCATTTACACAACAGGGTGGATTAAAAAATCTTTTTTTCAGAATTTCAAAACCTATCTATGAGGAAAAGATGTTCTGTAGTAGGAAAAATAAAATAAAAAATAATTTGTATGTGTTAAGTAATGCAACAAAGGGGAATGAAGTTTAGGGGCATTTGAGCTTTTTCAATTTCTACTAATAGTTCACAATCTCCCAATATATGTATATATATCTTGTTCAAAGTTTTCATCGTAAATAAAATACTTTTTATTCATCAATTCAAGTTCAAATACAATTTTTAAACTTGTAGTGGATGATACTTGATGTTGATATAGCTTTTTCAAATATTAATTCATTAGTTAAACTTAGTTAAAGAATAACTAATAACAAACAAAAATAATTGTCCAACACCTTATATAAAAAGGAAAAACGCTCGTTGTGTCCCTGTAGCGCAATGGATAGCACGTTGGACTCCTGATCCAAAGGTTGTGGGCTCGATTCCTACCTGGGATGGCCTAATTTTTGAAAATGTGATCTATGAATGACTTAATAGTAACAAGAAAAATGATAGTGCACCACAGCGTTTCTCAAAATGTGAGGTGCGCCCCCCTTGGGGGCATGGCAACTTTATGAGGGGGTCGCGAGCATATTGAAAAGTCGAAAACAGGAGCTTATTTAAAAAAATTTATTTACTGAAAGTAAACAAACAAAATACTTTCTGACATAATAAAAAATAAAATACTCATTTACACTGATATGTTACACTGATAAATGTATCAATGCTACACAATGTATTTTATAATTAGTTTAACATTACTAAGTTAAGAACAAATTAAATAATTACCAGTGACCCCATGGTATTATCATACATAAATTGTATACAAAAAGTAACACTTATCTTGATAGTTTGTACGGTTTATAATAAATACTTAACCGCTAAATACACTGCTGGACAATTGCTAAGGACGGATCCCAAATTGCTATGTAGCATAACATTAAGGGAGATATGAGGCCTAGTAGGATAAAATATAGTTGCCACACTGTTCAGACATTAGAATAAAGAATATTTATTGTTCTGGAAAGTACAAAAGCTGTGAAACATCAGAAAGAAAAAAAAATGTGCATTTGATCTGCGTACGGAGAAATGGAACAATGCATCTAAAAGTCAGCAGGCACCTTAAAGAAAGGTATCAGTACGGGATATGTCCACCGTGGAGTATGATGCAACATTCCACACGTCGTACCATACTTTGCACAACATTATCCAGCAGCTGTTGAGGCAATTTATCCCATTCCTCTGTGAGTGCCCGGATGAGGGTGTTCTTGTTTGTCGCAGGATAGTTTCGACCAGCAACTTGCCTCCCCGAAGCATCCCACACATTTTCAATGGGGTTTAGATCCGGAGAACGCGCTGGCCATACGAGACGTTGAATACCCTCGCTGTCTAGACAATCCTGAACAGCGAGTGTTCGATGACATGTTGCGTTGCCGTCCATAAAAACAAATTTATCACCGACAGCACCTCGGAAAAGACGAACATGAGGAAGTAGAACTTCATCAATGTATCGTTGGCCCGTCATAGTCCCATTCGCAACCACATGTAGGCACGTGCGGCCATTGATCATGATGCCGGCCCACACCATGATACTGCATGTCGGATATCGGTCCTTTTCCTGGATATTTTCTGTACGATAAGCAGTACCACTCTCGCGCCAGATCAGTTGGCGTCTACAATCCGATGACAGACTGAACCTACTCTCATCTGAGAATAGTACGCATGCCCAGTCCTGTTCAGTCCAATTGTGATGCTCACGACACCATTGCAAACGGGCAGTACGGTGCTGTCTGGTCAATGGGACACACACAACAGGTCTGCGTGCGTATAGTCCTCCTCCCCTCAAACGTCTGGGAACAGTTTTTCGGGAGATCTGCTTTCCTGAGGCAGCAAGAAACTGATTTGCCACCTGCTGAGCTGTGGTGCGCCTGTTCCTTTTTGCTGATAGGACATATATATCTGTCTTCTGCAGGCGTCGTACTTCTAACACGACCTCCCCCGTGCCGTCTACTACACATTCCAGTAATTTCAAATGACTTCCACAGCCATGAAACAACGCTGTGAGCGATGTCGAACTCCCTGGCATCATCTGTTATTTTTCGCCCTTCTTCGATCTTTCCAATAATTCGGCCACGCATAAAATCATCTATGTGATGTCGGGAAGACATGCCAAAAATTTTAAGTTCGTCTATTAAATCTTTCCTGTAAAACTTTGACTTGAAACAACAACTGTCCCCCCGCGTTAAAACCTTCCTTTAAAGCTCTTATGAACGCTATCACGTGATGAACAGACGTGGGAAAAAATTTGCATATATACTCCTACTTCTTCTTCCTAATATCCCGCACTTATTCTAATTTTGCACATTTTGCTTCCTTTCATTTTGTGGTTGCTATGGATGATAGTGTTATCCGTCCTTAGCAATTGTGCAGCAGTGTACAAGTTACGCTATCAGCTTCCCAATGTCAATCGTGTTCTACGTAGACGCGTGTATATTGGGGGATAAAGAAGGAAATAAGTAAAACCTTCACAAACATTATCAAGGTCTTTTTATTGCATTCCAAACCTATCTGAAAAATTTTATGAATAACAGTGCACAGAAAAGCCCTTACATAGGGAATACATATATTTACGTCAAGGGAAATTAATGCTTTGGCTGAGCGAGATGTTTATATAGGCCGGTGACACTTTAGAGGTTCAAATCGTATCCAAGTTTTATCATCAAAGCATAATATTATTGAATTCAATACATTGTTATTGTATTAGGGGGCGCGATGGAAATTATGATTGAATATTGGGTCGCAAATATTGAAAATTTAAGAAGCACTGGTCCAACACCATGTACAGAAAGGAAAATCGCTTTCTATTTTACCTTTTAATAGTGTGATTCTGTCATGTGTATATACATATTTATTATAACTGTAATTATTTAATAAAAAGTAACTAAAACCAAATTTTTCTTTGTTGATCTAAGTAGGAAGTGACTTTAAAAAGATTTTTTATATTACTTGTTTTTATTAAAAAGTTAAAGAAATTTATGTTAAAATGAAACAGACATTTTAGTTTCCTCGTGACACTTTTTACTATTTATTGCGATCAGAAGACGCATACGAAATAGTTACAAGAAAAAAAACATCAGGCACATTTAACAGATTTTTTAGTATTAATTTTTTTTATTTAAAAAAAACTATTGTCAAAATTATAGTGCGTAATAAAGCATAAGAGAGAAAAAGCTTGGATCAGACTGATTTGGCTGTGCGAGGAGAAAGAGAGAGAGCTGGCGAGATATAAGAAAGGAGTTACAATGCACATCGTACTATCTACTATTCACTTATTAGTAATCTTCCCTTTTGGTTATTCATATCCTAAACAAATTATTATGTTGAGACTAAATTATCTAACCAAAATTAAATCTTTTCCCATTTTTTTTTTCAAAAATTCAATCTCTTTGTGGCAATATTTAAAAAAAAATATTTTTGTCAATCATGTGTTTCTCCTAATCACAATATTACATAACATCTTTTCCTTATAAGTAGGTTCCAATAACAATATTTTTTTTCTCCATACAGCCAGTCCATACCAATAACACATTCAGGTATCAAGTTTTCTTTGTAAGAATGTAGCAGTTCAAAACTTTCAATTACTTAAAAACCCCAAGCTGATTTTAAGAAGTGTTGAAAAGTTTAAATCTTATTTTTTTTTTTTTGACTATTGGCAATTTTTACATTTTCAAATTGTATAGATTTTAACCTTTCTAAAAATACATTACTTTAACCTCTGGGGTAATTAAAAGCCCTTAAAAACTTATTTTTAAATAATCGTCGAAACTGGGCCACGTCCATTTGAATGGTGAAAAATATAAACAAAGTACTTCGTATTTGCTTAAAAGTTGAACGTCTGGCATAAACCAAAACATATATCTTTTGTTGTAAATTGAGCCTTTTATTTTTTATTTCCTAGCCGATTAAAAGTCTTATTGTATACATTAAAATCAATTGCACCTTTTCTGAGAAACTGCTGTTCACAGGTATGTAATTTTTTTTTTTGCTAATATATACTACAATGAGCTTTTTGTAAAAAACTCAAAAGTTTGTCTTTTACAAATTTTTTTATGTGAAAAATGGGTCAAAAAATTTTACTATGTTTGATAAAATATTTTATAAATTATGAAAAAATTCAAAATTAGCTAAAAGCTCATTTAAGTATAATGAGAAAGGTGTGTTTTATTTGTATGAAAAATTTCAAACATGTACATATAACAGATGAGATGCCCTTTAAGAGATGAGATTTGCGAGTTAGCTTGTTATAATGTTAAATTAAATCGGTTCCTAAACTTTAGTACAGAATTGTGAATATTTTTCAAAAATATATAATATCCTTAATAGTAAAGACTCCTTCCCAATGGCTTAATGGGTGATCGTTCAGTTTTTTTTAGAATTATTTCTCAATAACATAGATTTCTATGAAACTTATTCAAAACAGAGATTAATTAAAATAATGATAGACAGATCAGTGAATTAAAAACTTACACTAGTTTCCATTCCGTCACTTTTTTCTAGAAAAACTAAAAAATTAATTTTTACCCCCCTCCAATACAGAGTATTTGGACATTAATGTGTTAAATTGTAACGGGTCTATTCGCGAAGTTTCTATTAATCCTCTCGGGTAAAATTATTCTCTTTAACTGTAAGTTCTGTTGAAAACTTTTCTCAGTGAAGAAGACGAGATTTAATTAAATGAGTACTTCTATTTAAACGTTGGCATTTGTGTAATTGAGGATGATCAATGGTTGATAGTTGACGATTAAAAGTTGATTTAATTGTGAACAAGCTTATGACCAGGGGTCGTATAGTTAAGTAAAATATTTGAAGAGAATTCTAGCGTAGGGGAGTCAAGAGCGCTTCAGGAGTCAGTTAAGTAATTTTAATTATATGTTAGTAGCATTAAGCCTATGCGATTGCTCTTGCGAGTTATTTATTAAGTGCATTCTCTACCTTTAGTTGTGTTGGTTGATTAAGTAAAAATATTAATAAAATTTGTGTTAAAAGTGCTATGGCTAATCTTTGCTCGAAACCCCAAATACTAACAACCTAAAGAGTGGGCTGTTACAAAGCCTTAGAGTTTATATTCAGGGTCCTGAATTTAAAAATCAAGTAGGAAAATAGATATTATAGTTCATGTTAAGATATCCGACTACGTTCAGAACCGTGGTTTTGCAAAAGGGACAAATAAATATGTTTTTAATATGTAGTGTCACTTAGTTTAGAAAGCACGTATGAAATTGTTTTAAGAATATTATTATAATAAAAAATTATTTAAATGCAATATTTTGGTAAGAAATTAGCGTAGAATTACGAATTTTCGAAACATTCTCCTTTTATGAAAAATGCTTCGATTATAATAATATTTTGCTTATATATATAGTTCAGACTTTTGTACAGAACCCGAATTAGGGTTTTT